TTCGTGTTTGAATAGTCTCCTTTCAGTTTTAAAATTCTATCTCTTCAAGACCAACTTACTCTTGGACATAGTCTTTTTAGGTAATTGCTCAGTCTTTCAACTTCCTCTCCCAAGACAGCATTTGGGCATCTGAAGGAGGGTAGAGAGCTGATGGGGTCCTTGGGTACTCATGCTGTACTCCGGATATCCAGGTTTCCATGGCAACCTCCTGGGCCACCTCATTGTTCCTGTCCTCCAGTATTTGCAGCTGAGATAGGAGCTGCCTTTATCCTGAGTCCCGATTTCACTGCAGGATGAAGCCTGGTGGGAGTCCCAGGCTCCAGCCACAGCATTCCAGTGCCGGAGCCCCCTGAGCTTCCAGGTGAACTCCACCTGACCCCAGCCCTGGCCACTCTACTTCAGAGGCTCTCCCATAGCATGTGCTTGGAGAACTGTGGGAACCTGGGGCTTTCACTGCACCATAGAGGATCTGAGCATCTAAGGAATGCTTCAGTCTGACCTTCCCTTTACTGTTTACACTACTCCATAGAGGTTTTTGTGTGGTGCCCACAGTTTAGTGCAGATGTGGACTTCAGAATTCCCAAGTGTAAATAAGAGCAAAGACTTGTTTATTATTGTGTCAATTTACCTAACATATTTTCATCTTTCTGGGATTTGCACACTTATCACCCTCTACTTTCCCTTCTTCTGTTGCACCTCTTTGGTTTGCTTTTCTCCAGTCTCTCAAGACTAGAGGAGGTGGCTTTGGCTTTTCTTCTTCACATCAACTGCCATTTATAGCCTAGCTCAGCAAGCCTATAGCATTGCCCTGATGCTATCACTAATATAGGACTATAGGACCATCAGGTTAAATTCTTGATATGTAAAGGAATTTGGAAAAAATCCTCTTTAACCACAATATCCCAATTTTTATGTGTATCCATGCAAACTCCTGTGTCAAATGTGAATTTCTTTACATTTCTTTTATATCAATCTTAATCTCCCTTTCATCTCATGTACCACAGCCGCCTAATGCATGTGTTCATATGTGCATCCTTATGTGTATACACACACACACACACACACACACACACACACATACACTCATCAGACAGAAGATAAGTAAATGTGGTGCATGGCAAGAAAAAGATAAAAATCGCATCGATTTTTTTCAAATTATATTAATTTTATTTTTAAGAATTTGCATATCTAAACAATGCTAGCAAGATCTAAGTACCCAGCTAGTGCAGTTAACAGGATTTCTTTCTGCTCCACTGCCATTTCTTTCTCCTTTCCTTTCTTGGCCTAATCTAAACAATTTACATTATTTTCCATATCCAGAGCCAACTCTGTCCCACTCTCCTAATTTCTTTAACTTCAGCTACCAAATACTAGAGCACCTGTCTTCTTACAATTCTAAGCCCTCTGGTCTTTACTTCCACCATTATTTTATTACCATATCAGCTCCTGAATCCCTTTATGTATATCTGAGTCAATCTTTCTTACTCTTTTCCCTTCCTTTCCAGCCTTTCAGTATCCCATTTCATACCAAAGAACTCTATTAATTTTGGAGTCAACCATCCTTTCTCACATAGAGTTTTTTCCACTGTCAATAAGTCTTGCAGCACCTGAAATCAAAGCTCATATACAAAGGTGACCTTCTTTACCCTATCACTAACATAAGGAAAGGTTTTTGGCAATCTCTCTAACCAACAAGAGCCACATACAAGAAGGGAAAATACTTTTTTTGCCACTGAAAATGGCAGGAAGTGGATTTGGGAGTTGTGACAGGGATTATAGTAGGGAGAGTTCATGCCATGCATCCTTTCTTACCACTAGAGCTCTTATTAAACTATAACATGGCAAATACTTGTGGATAGCTTTTGGTAGCTGATTGTGGTAGCAGCTGGTCCTGAAACACCATTTGGAACACAATGTCTTGGGAAAATATGCCTATTAATTCACTTATGAACAAGCGTTTCAGATATAACCTGCTGGACCGAATGGTGTCCCTCCAAAATTCGTATGTTGAAGTCCTAATCCCTGATGTGATTGAATTTGGTAAGTTTTATAAGAATAATTAGGGTTAAATGAAGTCATAATGGTGGGGTCCTAATTTGATAGGACTGGTGGCCTTATAAGAGCCTGAGAGAGATCTGTCTTCTCCATGTATACTCACAGAAGAAAAGCCATGTGAAGACATAGTGAATAGGTAACTGTCTGCAAGCCAAGATGAAAACTGCACCAGAATTTCAATCAGAAACTGAATAGGCTGGCACCTTGACCTTGAACTTCCTAGCCTCCAGAACTGTGAGAAATGAAATTCTGTTGTTTAAGCCAGCCAGTCTGTGGTATTACATTATGGGAACTGGCACTGACTAAGACAAACCTGTTCATAAATTCAGAATTAAATACAATTATCCATTTATGAATAGATTGTATTTATAAAACTTGACCATTATTATCATTTATAGACCGAATATATATAAAACATAGGTTGAAATGGTATTTCAATAAACGTTTTTTATGTTTAACTATAAGTAAGTAAATGGATGATAAATCCTGCAGGTTGTTAAAGAGAACCTGTTTAGATATAATCCTACACTTTGGATGTGGTCAAAATCTCAAATATCCACTGAGCATCCTTGGGCCCAACACTCCCTGAATTAATAACCGGTACAGACTAAGTACCCATCAAATGTTAGCTGAATTTAAAAGATAAATATGTTTATTAGTAGGGGTTTATACATCAAAATTGATGGCATAGATATAGGGTATTATCTCTACAAGAATATTTTCAGGAAGATAGAAAGATGTGGGCAGAAAGGTGGATGTCAGACAAAGTTATTTGTGGCTATTTAATTCTCCTTATTATTATGGTTAAAAAGATACTGCTCTCAGCTGTTGGAGTATTTTTCTAATAAAATGTAGTATTTATAGCTTTGGGGGAAGAAATTTTCTTTTAAAAAAAGAAAAAGAAATCTTACAGTGTTATCTCAAAGTCAAGTAAAAAGGGAGTTTGGAATTACATGTGGTTTTGAGTGACCATTAAGTCTTCTAGGATTTATTAATTTGCCTTCCCAGCAATTTTGCTTTACCAGTAATTTTTGCTTGATTAATGAAGACTTTCTGTAGCACGTGTAGCTGTGTAATGGTTAAGCATTGGCTGAAAGCTATGTAACACAATATAATGTTGGGTTTTATTTTTTAACCATAAGAAACCATGTTCCTCAAGGATATGGTTACATGAAGTTCAGAGTACTACCTACACTGATATTGGGTCAGTAAAAAATTAAACTTTCAACTTAGTGGGCACTGTGTCCATTTGATGACTCCTTCACTTCTTAGCAAGTAGCATTGACACGATGATATTGACTGTGATACTGGCAGAATGTTCTTAGAAAGCAAAGTTTATTTCAAGAGTGTATAAAGAAATGTCCTGTCCAGGTCAGAGGTCTGTGTAATGGACATTGGACCAGCTGAGTAGTCTCTCTAAGCCACAGTGTACTTATTAGACTCATAAATGCCAGGCATTACAAAATGGGTATAATAATAGCCCAAATTATAGTAGCTAACATTTAATCCTCACCAAAATCATATGGAGATAGTACTTTAAGGAGTTGCCATGTCACAGGTAAGGGAACCAAGGCACAGAGACTTTAATGAATTGCCCAATGTCATTCAAGTTTTAGTGGCAAAGCCACAATTTCACTCAGACAGTTTGATTCCAGAAACTTCTCTTTTCACTACTATGCTGTTGTTGAGAGTATCTTGATTTTGTAGTTATGCACTATTTGTTTTCCTATATTATTTATTCTGTTCATGACAGAATTAAGTTGTTAATGATCTTTGAGGAAATGCGCTGAAAATGCCTAAGAAACCACTCAGTGCATTATAAATTTGTGTTGTTATTTATTGTGTTTGTTCCATGCCATTAAACTTCTTTAATTCTTTCTTTTTAAAATTATATTGTTTGGGATTTTCATTCTTTGGTATTTTCATTTTCATTTGAAAAGTCTTGATATTTGCAAGGTCACAAATTTCTTGTTGCATTTCCTAATGCTCCAAGTGAATGTAAATATTTCCTAAAATTGGAAACATACCATTCAATACTGTGATTTTTATATTAAATATTTTGTACATAAAAATGTGTAATATGTATAATTACAAACCACTTCTATTGCCCTTTTATTGTCTTTGTTATGTGTTCTCTTATTGCATGCATAAAAAAGAGCATACAGCATTTTATAAAGATAAATTGAAAATACTCGTTCATGCTTGTTTTCGTAATAGTGTTCTCTAGTGTAGAAGCAACCATGTATTTTAAAAGGCTTATCCAATTTTGCTAATACCAGTTTGCTGCCAAACTCCACTAAGTATTAGAAATTTAAGCTTCTACTTTGAAAATCAGATTGCTCCTTGCGATTGAACGTTGTGAGTGTTTTAAGTGCGAGAGCCGCACACTCTTCCGCTTGAGCTGGAGAGCCTGGACTGTAGTTGCTACTTCCTCCTCGCTGACTGCTGCTGCTGCCTGCCTCCTAATTGTCTTTGGCTCTCTGTAAACCTGCAGCCAGAAAGGTATTTGAATTTTCCCTCTGTAGCACTTGCAAATCCAATTTTTATGTATAGCTAAGTGCTCTTAGCTTTTCCTCTGTCTACTTTGGGGGCCTGATTTCTAGGAGGCCTGTAACTACGCCAGATCCGGCCTATGTAATGCTGTTTGTAATGAGAAATCTAAACAGGGAATGGCAGTGAGGCATGGCAGGAATGTGTTTCCATTGGAGAAGTCAGTGTAGAGAAAGAGTATAAGCAAAGCCGTGTCCAGAGGCCTTTTCAGCTGGCCGAGACGGAAACTAATGTTATTGTACATAGGCTGTTACCCTGCCAGCCCTTACAAATTTGCCTTCTCTCTCCCTTCCCCTCTTCTCAACTCCCCTCCCCCATTCTCCCTCTTTCATCTATCCCTTCCCCTTCTCTTCCACCCTCTCTCTTTCTGTGGACCCTGCCGACTGTTTGCTCAGGTGGACAGTGACACCGTTTGGAACGAGCTGCACTCGTCCGGTGCTGCACGCATGGCTGTGGGCTGTGTCATCGAGCTGGCTTCCAAAGTGGCCTCTGGAGAGCTGAAGGTGAGGTCTGGGTTGCATTAAGTGTGGGAAATCCAGAGAAGAAAATGAAACAGAGATGTTGTTGTTGGGGAATTGTGGGGAATATGGTGTGGTAATAAAAGGAAAGGGGTGGAGGGAAGAGGGCAGGGAGATGGCCACTAAGGTGTGATAATAACTAGTCTGTAGGTAGGTAGCAGCTGATCCTGTTCACAGGGCCTCTCTCCCCTTGGGAAAACTCTGTGGTCAGGGCTCGCTGGTGTTTTTAAAAACATAAAAATGGTGAGTAAAGCTATGATCCAGATTAAAAATACCCAGTATATACATATCTATCATGCCCTCCTGGGATTCTCTTTTGAAGCAATTTAAAAAATATGATTACTGAGTGCTATGTATAAGCTCAGAATACCACCCAGAGAGAGGTGTGGGGCGGGGGAGAAAGGTAAATACCAGACGGGAAGGATTGGGAGGAAGAAGGAAATTGTTGATTAGAGGGGTAATGATCCAGAGTATGTTTTTTCACGAAAGAACTTCAAAAATGGGCTATGCTTTATTGTTCTTTTCTTTTTACGGTCTCTTCTTTTCTACATCATGAAAAAGAACAATGTCCAAACCCCAGCTTTTCCTAGTCTAAACAATTTATAAAAGCCAGAGACCTGACAGACGTTGACATTTTATTTGGTATTTTTACAGTGCTATTTAAAGGTATGCCATGTGCGTCTTGAATGCAGTTGCCCCAATAAACTTTGTTGGTGCTAACATGGCTTTTTAATACACTAGTTCACACACTTCATAATGAAATCTGGGTGGTGATTGATTTGGTATTTTTAACAATTATAGGGCTAAACAGCATAGGCATGGTGAGCTTTGTTAATCTAAAGTAGAATCTAATTAGGACTATTTTTCTTTATATCTAATTCAGTCACACCTGACTGTTCCACTTGTGATTAAAAATACAGGGGAGGAATGTTCATTGTACAATACACTGTCCCAGAAGTCTCTGCCATAACACTTTAAAAAGAACCTACTTGAAATATAATTTTGGTAAAGTAGACTGTATTAAAATAAATGCATATTAAATATATATGTATATACATATATATTAAAGATATATATATATAAGCCTTGTATGTTGTTGACATGATCAGTATCAGGATGGTAATTGCTCATCTCTTGGGATTTATGGGGCCATTAGTATGGTGCTTACTACTCAGTCTTTATCTTTGGCAATGAGCTATTGAAGAGAAGAAAGGAATCAACCGTATGGAGAGTTTGGCTGTCTATCAGTAACACTTCAGGAATAATTATTTCTGTTTAAGTATGTCGCTTCTAGCACTGGAATAAATTGACATTTTCAAAGAATAATATTTGAGGGTCTTATTTTCAAGGAATTTAAATGATAGACAATAGCCAGACCACAATATTATGATTTTTAAAAGATGATGCTGGCACAGACCCACTTAATAACAACAACTAAAAAAATGATTATTTTAGCATTCACAATTTCTCATTGTTTTGTTTCTATAGAAGTTTAATTAATTCAGAATCCTTATCAAGGAGAATGCCCACATATTACACTCAAAATTATCATCATTATTAATCTCACAGAGTGCAGAATTGCCAAGTGTATGTATGAAGAGTGTTGAACAAAACCTAGTTCTATTTTTTAGGAGGTAGTCATTTAAATAATCAGTTACAAAGTGTCAATAACATATAGTATGGACATGCTGACCACCAGCTGTACTAACATTGACTATTTATGTTAAGAACCAGGATTCATACAAATGCTTTTTCTCCCCTTGATTGAAAAAATCAGCAGGTAGTTAAAGAAGAAAAGACAAGATAGAGGAAAAGTCAGCCTAAGAATCAAAAAGTCTTGGTATAGACTCTGCACTCAAAGGCTGTGTCATTTGTGGCAACTCACTTAACTTCGCTGAGCCTTAGTTTCTTACTCTGCAAAATCAGCAGGGTAGAACCAATAATGTTGAAGGTTGTGTTCAGTGCTGGCATTCTGGGCTATTTGCAAATGAAAAGTGTATCTGATTCTCAATCATAAATACTGTGATATACCGAATAGTAGATATTCCAAAACTAATTTCAATTTACCTTAGTGTGTATTCCAGATTTTGCAGCTGGTTTATCCTTCTGATTGTTAAGATCAAAGTAAAAGTCCAAGAGAGGCAGGAGGACCATAATAGAGGTAACAGTTCTGACAGATGAAAAGACTGAACCCCTTGTTTGCTAATAATCTGGGGAGGCCTATGGGAATGCCATGTAGGAAAGGCAGCAGTCACAAATAACTTGTGGTCCCAGGGAAGAACTGAGGTAAAGTGCTATGTTTAGGAACCTCTAGATAACCAAAAATGTTACTCGGTGTTTACTTGTCCCAGAATCCAATATGGTAGGGCTGGTACAGCTGCTGACCAGGACCATTAATAATCATGGAATCAGTTCATTCAGATAGGGGAAGGAAGTTGGAAAGTCTGTTTGAGGACGGTGGTAAGTTACCCTCTGATGAGAGATGTAAAAAGAGAAAACTTTAGTCTTTTGGTTTTTGTTTTCTTTGCATCTACATTTAGTTCTCATGTGTTGTACTGCATTCTCCCAGTAAATCAATCACTTAATGAAACAACAGTGGCATATTATAATATAGCATTTTGTGTGACTATACTCATTTTGTTTGGAAAATAGAGGAGTAAAGAGCTTTATTTCAAAGAGGGTAGGCCTGGATGGAATGCTGAACTGAGAGGTGGGAGACAGCTTGAGGGAGGTCACTGAACTCAGAGGATGGGTACCTACAAAATAAGAAATTTGCACAAAAAAGGACTATGCCAAAGACAAATTTGATTACTTGGATTTTTGTTTTATGCTGAACTTGATCATGACCACTGCCGTAATGTTCCACAGGTTCTGTCCATTCTTTACCTAGGTGTACTGATGGGCTGAACGCATTAGAAGAATGAGTCAGGTGTAGGGAGTGGTCACATGTTGATGCTTAAATAGACAGTGTGCAGTAAACTGCAAAGGTAATTGGCATGTATCTGGTGCTGAATAGATATGCTAAATGGAATTCTGTGGAAATTATGGAGACTTTCAAGTTTTCCAGGTTTTTCACCAGATATATTTAAAAACAAAACTATGCAAGAGGAAATTTCTCAAAAATCTTCAGATGCCCAAATTGACTATTTCTCAGATTCTCGTACTAAGAAATACAGATATTCTGAAAATGGTGAAATGTTTAATGTATTAGAAACTATAATTGGAAGAAGAGTTCTTTCAAAATGGTTTTGTTTTATGGGACAGTTAATAAAGTAGGTCTAGAAATAGAAAGATCTCTAGAAAGATGAACATTTTTTCAAGTTATAAATGGTTAAATCATTGATTCAAATAATGGCACAAAACACGTTGTGTACCTTAAATGTATACAATATTTGAATTATACCTCAGTAACACTGGAAAAAATGGTTCAATACTCACTAACCTTTAATATGAGGATTCATTTTAGTGCAATTTTGACAGTGCTATAATGTTGTCATAAAAAAGTAAAACTTGCTTTAGCTGTCTGAAAATTTTTGTCAAAAAAATCCCACCTGATTATCTGAACAATAAATGGTTTTCTTTAATATTTGAATGGAAATTGTGATGTCATGTCATGTTGGTAATAATACCTGCTCTACACTGAGTTCCTACTATAGGCTGATCATTTTACATATAATTCACCATTCATCTCACAGTGGCCCTTCAAGTAAGTATAGCCAATAGGATATCAGCTCAGAGATACCAAGTAATTTTAAGATCCTGAACTAAGTTTAATAAATGGCAAAGCCTGTAAATCTCACAATCCTGTATTCTCCTTTAACTACATTCTAAGGAATTTCTTATAGAGGTAGCATAAATATATAAGAAAAAAGGTTAAAGTGATCTCTTTCAAATGGTCTAGATCCTCCCTTTTCTTTGCTATGAAACATTTAATACATACAAGATAACAAGTTACATTAATAACTTTCAAAAACATAATAAATAAATACCTGTGAACCCTTCATCTAACTTAGGAAACAGTTCTTTGCTAACACTATTCAAGTTCTCTCAGCACTTAACCCTATCGTTTTGATCCAGAAGTAATCTTTATCTGTTGTTTTTTAAATTCTTCCTTGTCCTTTCTTTAATAGTTTTAATGATATGTTTTTGCCTTTATACACATGGAATCTTATCAGATGTATCAGTCCTCAGATTTCTTTCCTGCAACTTAAAATCATGTTGTGAGGATTTATCCGTATAGATTTATATAGTTGTGATCCATTCCTTTTCATTGCTGTAAAATATTCCCTTGTATCTTAATTTGTTTATTAATTCTTCTTTTGAACATTTTGGTTGTTTCCAGGTTTTTGTTCTTTTGAACAGTGCTGCTATGAACACTCATGGACATGCCTGCTGTTTCACTATGGCAAAACTAAGAGTAAAATGGCAAGCTCCTAGGCTAGAAACATAGGAAATTTTAGTAAGTGCTTCAAATAGAATTCCAAAGTCACTTGGCCACAATGACATCAGCAAAAATGGTTAGTTTAAACCTCTGAAAATTATTTTCTTCATAAAATAAGTGACGAACTGGCAAAATTTATCAGGATTAATTTTTTAGAAACTCTGGAAACCAACCAAAATCTTGCAACAACTCAGGAAGCATGTATTCAAAACAAAACCAGCTGAAACTTGGTAAGAACAGTGAGCTTTGTGGTGTTTTAATTCTCCCTATTCTCATCTTATCCTCCATAGCTCCGCAGTAGCATTAACAAATAACAGCCTGTGTTCTCAGTGAACACCGGTGACTTGGCAGTCTCCAGAGGGGGCAGGTGGGATTGGAGCTTCTTCAAAGCCTCATTCCCAGAGAATTGTCATTATTTGGCATGTGTGGTGCTGCACTACAAGATCCACTTGCAAGGCTGTCTTTATTTGACCTGACTTGGAGCTCACCTAACAGCAGCCCTTTCCCAGAAGCATTTGTTGAGAAAAAATTAAAGGCAATTGAT